TTCGGCCCAATTTCATGTTTCTTTTGAGTACCAGAGTATTGCAGGAGAGTCTTTGCCCATTTCATTCCAACTTCATGTCATTTCGTTTCAGCACATCACAGCCCCAGTACATTTGACAATGGGCATTCATTTCTACAAAGTTGGATTTGATGTGATTACATTCTTTCCTTTTCTTACGGCATGCCCTCACCGCACCTCCAAATTCTTTCCATTTGTTCAACAGGGTACTACTGCCCTGATGGCTACCGCCTCCTGGAGTGCCCCCGGGGTGACTACTGCCTCAGGAACACCGGCGGCAATGAGTCCCTGCCTTGTCCGCGGGGCTTCTATAACCCGGACCTAGGGCTGGCCAGCGAGAGCCAGTGCCTGCCTTGCAAAGCCGGCTTCTACTGCCGCGGGCTGGGCATTTGGCAGTTCAACAGCGAGACGGTGCTGGAGGAAACCGCGGGGCCCTGTGATCCAGGCTACTATTGCCTGTCAGGTAAGCCATGTGCAAAATGTTTAACACTTAATACGGTATATTCACCACATATTATGTACTCACTCCTCATCCGGGTGACTATTGCATGTCTGGTGCGCCATATAAGAATATTTAACCCCTAATATATTCATTGCACTATATTGATCCACTATTGATCCGGGCTACTATTGCCTGTCGGGTTAGCCATGTGCAAAATGTTTACTACCCGTAATACATTCACCACGTCGATCCGGCTGCTATTGCCTGTCCAGGGAGCCACATAAAGAAGCCCATAATATGTCTACATGTACTTTGTTTTATTGCACTGTTGTTCTTTGCTACTGTGGCCTGTCAGATGAGTCACATTAAGACTGCCCATAATGTATCCGCCACTGGTAATGTGGGCTGCTATTGCCTGTAAGTTGAGCATTGCTATAACAATCTTCAGCCATGGTATATCTGTTGTGTAGTGTTACATTACATTTCTTCACTGATGATCTGGGCCACTACTGCCTGCCAGAATGTAATATAAACAGCAAGAGCCTACATTTACACAACGTGGCGTGATAAATGGAATGGTAAAACAAAAACATTGATCAAACAAGTAACCAAGTAATATTGGTGGTCCTATTGGTGGTCCTAGATGTTCCCATCAACATTTCGTGAATGTCTGGCAACATAACCTGGGATTCTCAAAAGCACCTGTGGTGCAGATGGTGCTGAGCTCGGAGAAACCTGTGGGAAGTAAACAGTGAAGAAATGTTCACTTTTAGAGGTGGGAGGATAACCATACCGAACGAACGCCATGGAACCAGTTTGGGACCGTAAAACTCAGCTTTACATGTATATGTTGACTTCCACAGGCCTCAAACCCAGGCTTTCGAATTCTAATCATGTGAGGAAAGTAATCCTATGTCTACATGTAGATCTTCACTTGTTGCCATTTGGATGAACACTGGCAATAGATACGCAGTATCAGTTCTTGTCTGCCTCTTGTGCGGAAAGTGTCACCCACGAACTTTGACCCCAAGAGCGTTATCTCCCCACCCTCTTTTGTCAACCAGGCGTGGACCTCCCCAACCCGGAGAACGAGACGGCCCTGGGCATCGGCGGACCCTGCCCCCGGGGGTTCTGGTGCCCTCAGGAGACCTCGGTGCCCAACCCCTGCCCACTAGGCACCTACTCGGACCAGCAGTACTTGACGGCGATAGGCGAGTGCAAGGCCTGTGATCTGGGTATGTACTGCAGCAAGGAGAACCTTACCGCACCTGAGGGGGTGTGCTCGCCGGGCTTCTACTGCCTGAATGGGTCTGCCACACCAACCCCCACTGGTAAGAGAATTTCCTTTGTCCTTTTTTTTTCTACCAAGGCGTCCCTGTTTTAGAGCGAGAGAACGACTTACCGAAGTTGTAATCATGATGCTCTGGCAACAGGAACAGGATGGCATCTCTGAAGCCCAAATTTGGAACTTCAAAATTGGAAACCTTTCAAACAATTTCATTGGAGTGATTGGAGAATTTCTTGGAGGATTTTGTTTTCCCCTCCAGTCTCGTCTAACCTCCACTTAGATCTTTCAAGTAGTTTCATCCAATTCTTGTCCAACTTTTTGTGATGTTGCTGGCCAAGACAAGTTAGCACCTGTCTACAGATCTCTGTTGTCAGAAGTAGGGCAATCTGGCTCATGAAGCCATTTGCCAGAAATGTTCGGGTTCATTTTAAATTTTCATTTCATGACACTGTCTTTTGAATCAGAGAAATGGTCTAAAACTGTACTTTTACTGAGCCTGTCATAAGATTTACGGCCTTTGGACAAGAAAAATCTAACATTTTATACTCCTGGGGGAGTGATACCATTGTCATCGGTCTCATTTTCCATCTACTTTTGGTGTAAAAATTTGATCCACTTTACAGATCTCGTCAAGAAATTTTGAGATGCAGAAGTAAAAGTGCACGTACTTCAGAATTTTCAGGACAACTTGGGAAGACATTCTGCTTCCATTTTTTCTCTTCACGCGTCTTTCACGCTCTGAAAGCTCGCAAACTAAAGCAGCAATTCTGAAATTTCTGCCGCTCCGTTTTCCTCGGCTCTCAGGAAGCGGCAACACCGGTGGCCCCTGCCCCACCAGGCACTACTGCGACGGCATCTCCCCGGTACCCCAGGAGTGCCCCGAAGGGACCTGGAATAATCTGGAGCAGCAGGCCTCGTGCTTCGATTGCCCCGAGGGCTACTACTGCCCCAAGGGCGTGGCCAGCTACAACCCTTACCCCTGCCCGGCCGGCCACTTCTGCCCCAACGGTGAGTGCCAAAAGGTTAACTTTTGTTTGAGCAGTGGATCCTAGTTGTTGAGTTCACTTCTGGGGACTTCCTCGTAGACCAGAAATCTCTTCGATCCAGTGAAGTCCAACCAGTGAGTTCTGGAGCATACTGCCAGATTGAGGAAACCTTGACTCCCAGTTGCTGTCGCTCAGTCAACAAAAACTGCTGAAATCAAAGTCAGGGTAACGTGAGAATATGCAATCAACCATACCACAAATAAACCGGCCTTTTCATAGGGTAAAGATATTGCAGTTTCCCGTCAGAAATCTGTTGGATGACGTAAAGTTTATTTACCATCTTTGTGGCATGCGTCATTCATTCCAGGCACCCAATTTGACACTCAGTACCCGTGCCCCAGGGGCACCTACCGCCCCAACACCAAGGGCATGAGCCTGTCGGACTGCACCGCTTGCGACCCGGGCAAGTACTGTCAGTTTGAGGGTGCCACCTCCTACACCAACAGCTGTGACCCAGGTAAGAAAGCAGAAAAATGAAACCCCTTTTTTGGGTTGTGTCAATTGCTTTGTGTTGTTTTTTTTGGTTGTGTCCAGAACAACCTCTGGAAGTAGACCTTTACTCTCAAGACCGCCATCCTCAACCTTAAAAGGGCCAGGTGTTTTTAAACCTCACCAGGTGGCATACAGTACCAATATACTCGGAACTGTCCTGCAAAAATTTGGATCCTTTCAATTTTCCATAAAAAGAAAAATGTTACATGTTAACATGTTACCATGTTACATGTTAACATGTTACATGTTTACATGTTAAAAATGTTAACATTCCGTCTCAGAAATCTTGATATTTTTTAAGAATGGTCGGTATAATTTTGGTGTCAAAACAAGTGTATGACATCTGCGGATAAGCTCCCGAAGGTTTGTTGCTATGAACAGAATGTGCAACGACATGTCGGAATTGCCAAGGGGGGCCCAACCCCACTCGCTGGCAACTTTTGAAAAGAATAAAGCTCAGTTTTTCCCTTTTCCCCATTTCCTGCCCACCAGGCTACTTCTGCATCCGAGGCGCCTGGACCGCCCAGCCAGACGACTTCAGCAACTACACGGACGGTGACTGCCTCTGCCCCAGCATTGCCACCGGAGGGCGCTGCCAGCCAGGCTACTACTGTCCCCAGGGGTCCAGCGAACCACAGGAGTGCACCGAGGGCAACTACTGCGGAACTGACGGTGAGTCTGGGGAAGATTCCAAGCCCCTGGATTTGCGATGGAAGGGGGGGTTGAAGGATAGGGAGAGAGTGCCCCATGGTGAAGGAGACCGACACAATCCTTTGAAATCTCCTGAAGTTCACCAAGAATTAGAAATTGAAATAAAAATAACGGGTTAGCAAAAATGTTTGTGGTGGAGTAAAAGTAAAATTGAGGGAGGTTCCACACTAGTTGTACAGGATAATGTGGCTGTCAGCGTTACATGTTTTTTGTCTTTACCAGTTGCCGATTATAGAGCACCAAAGTGTGGCGTCATTTAAAATCCGAATGGAGTTTGTGGGTGTGTCGGTTCACCCGTTGGTTGTTGCACTAATGCCTTTTACCCCAAATTGTGCGTGTGACGTACATATATTCACTTTGGTACATTTTATCACATTGGACCTTCCTCAGATATGGTACACCTTGCGTCTGAGATACCAAGTTGTTAAATTGACAAGTCCCTTTGCCTTTGGTTTGTACAAATGCTAGCCCTTGACGGTCATTTGTGTAACGTTTTCAGTTCGCTTTTTGCTTTTTCTAAACTCTGAGACTATGTTGAAGAGGTTTTTTGCTGAAACGCTCAGCCAAGGTCAACAGCCATTTGAGGGCTGTGCTTGAGAGCTCAGTGTATTTAGAAACTCGGTTGGAGTCGCTCAAGCCTGGGATTGAGTTTAGTTATCACCTGGCGCCACCATCGGAATTTACCGAGGACTCGGGAAATCCTTGTGTGTTTAATGCACAATGTGCATCAAAGTGGTCAATATGTTGCCATTATTTTTCGGAAGGTCTGGAGGATGTGTCCGGCCCCTGCTTGCCTGGCTACTACTGCGACGTCACGGCTTCCAGAGAAGACCCGACAGATGGGGTCACCGGGAACGTTTGCCCCGCCGGCCGCTACTGTGGTAAGTTTGAATCATCGACGGTCAGGTCCTCGCATTTATTGAGCCGTGTTTGAAATGATGAAAGTAAGCGCCAATCTGTCGTCTTCATTTTTACATGTGCCGTCACACTGGTGTGTCATTTGTATTCATCAACACCTACCTCATGTTTGAAATCAGAGTCTGGGACAGGAGCGAACCCACCCAACTGCCCGACTGGAACGTTCTCCAATGCCACGGGATTAACGGCACTGTCTGAGTGTGACGATTGCACCGCTGGGTATTACTGCGAGACACCAGGGCTTACTCGGCCTACCGGACCTTGCCAGGAAGGTGAGCAAGGAGTCCGTACACAGGATTTTGTTTGCCAATCAGAGAAGGAGTATTAAGAAGGCTATGAATAATTCATCCGTGTGTAGCCAATCGCTGAGCTTCAGAAAGGAAGTTGTGAACATGTATTGAATGCATGCATGACCTCTGGGCTGACTTTCAAAGATTTTAAACATTCGGAAAGTGGACTGACCAAGCACCTGTCTATTCATTACTGATGTGTAATAAAACAGCTCATACATGATTCAATAATCAGTCACTAATCATAGAGGCTAAATATTAGAAATGAAACAGATCAGTACCTGAGCAATCAGAGATTGTGAATGCAGCAAGTCATGAATGATTCATTAAATTGAGTCCTATCACACAGACAGATGCACGTAAGTGTACCTGCCACTTATCATGGGGATTAGTCGATTTGTTTGTAAGGTTCTGTTCCCTCTCTAGATTGAAATTAGAAAAGTACAAGCAAATTCCATTTATCCGCCTTGAGCAGAAGCACCCCCTCATTAGTTGAAACAGAGCCATGCTTGTCAGGAGTGTCCGTTTTGTCGTAAGCAGTGCGACTGCAGCGCACACCTTTCGTGGTCGTTTGTGAACCAGTGAAGTGTAGTTCCCATCAAAGGAGCTTCCTTTGCTAGGAAAATTGCGCCCTCTCTTGTTCGTACTCGGGGCTCACTGACTGTGATTGTCCTGCATTTATCTTTTCTTGGTGTTCAGGTTACTATTGCCCCAGCGGTCAGGACATCAAAAACCCCATGGCCTGCGATGCTGGTTATTACTGCGAGGAGGGCTCCCCCGAGCAGGTGGAGTGCCCGTCAGGGACGTACCAGGACGAGAGCACCCAGAGTTCCTGCAAGATCTGCAATGCAGGTACGAGGTTGGAGCTCTTCTGTATTCCATCGTTTGCCTCTTTCTTGTTTTTTTTCCTTTTCTTTTTATATACTTTTCGTAATCCTAGAGTGTGTGTAAAATCAAATTGAAATCGGAGGATTTAGCCTGAAAGGGTGAAGTTATGTTTGGTATTAAAACCAAGGATTCAAGAAAAACGACCTTGACACTGTTACGCGTAGCTCACAGGCTTGTAGAAACTTGCTGAGAGGAGACACTGAGAAGCAATCACAGTGATTAGAGGTGGGAGGAACACCTCAGGGGAGTAAGCTGGGTATGGCCTGAGCACTAAGCCTTGGGCAAGTTAAATTTCAATAAAATCTGGTACACTGAGTTATCTGATTGCACATAAACATAACAACTTGAATTCCCCAGACTGAAGACACTGTTGCTATGCCTCATGATTTGGGGTAAGCTTTTGCATAGCGACCACCATCTCTGGAATGGACTGGTTCCTCTGTGCCGTTCCTGTCCATTGAAAACAGTGTATTGTTGCAAGGCGTCTCTTACGCAACTTAGCAAAAGCTTGCCCTGAATCATGAGGTATAGCAACAGTGTTTTTAGTGTGGAGAATTCAAATTGTTATGTTCACGTCAATTTGAAGAACTCGGTGTACCAGATTTTATTCAAATTTAACTCGCCAAAGGCTTGTTGGGATGGGACTGAAAGCCCAATCCATGTATGTAGTGAATTGGGAATAGAACCTGAATCACAGTTGAAAGGCTAGGAAACATATCATGAATCTTCAGGAAAATAACTGTCAACCAAAAAATTGCCCTATACTTTTTAATATCTCAGACTTGAAGTGCTGGTCAGATCACGACCTAAACCACTGGAAACAAAAGATCTGTAGTCAAATTAATGCTGACCTATTTTCTGCAACTTTAAAAGGCAGATTGGAGGATCATCTGCCAGTTTCTGAGTGTCAAAATAAATCTGTTAAGGAAAGCTAGCAAATTGATGCAGAAACGCCCGCTACTGCATAGTATTTGTCGTTGGATTACTAGAAAGTAAGGATTTGCTCAAGCAGATTTGACATGACACTGTCCAAATCTTTGCCATTGTCCACACCCAGGCTACTATTGCAACGTGGCAGACGCCCCCATCAGTGACTACACCCTCTACCCCTGTCCCATCGGCTACTACTGTCCCAACGGCACGGAGTACAGCACCCAATACGGCTGTGCTCTGGGCACGTACGGCAACGCTACCATGCTGGAACGGCAGGATCAGTGCCTTGACTGCCCTGCCGGCAAGTACTGCGACGAGCTGGGATTGTCCAGTTACAAAGGTCAGTGTTCTGTAGATCACTCAGTTCTTTCCAGACCACACTTTTGGGTGGTCAAATGTTTTGCGTGCACATTAACATTTTAGATGAGGTTCAGTTTCATGGTACGTTTCAATATTTTGCTATAAAATTCAAATTTCACTTGCCCTGTTAAGCGTGAAATTAAAGGCAATTTCGTCATACTAGTACATGCTTAAAGTTTAATTTTGAACGTGAATTCTTGCTCTGTGTTGAAAAAGGTCTTACATCATTTGGTGACGGTAGATATTGATATGACAGAAATAGATACTTGCACTCGAGTTACGTGTATTTCAACAAAAGAAACATTGTCACCATAAGAAAGGCGTTTTGTTGCTGTATCCTGAGGGAAAATAAGATTAAGTTGTGAATTGTTTGGAAGACAATTGACCGTGACAGCAAAGACTCTTGAAAGACTGATAGAATTGACACCAGAAGCTTAAAACAGCGAGGCAACATGTTTACGTAACGAGCTGATATTTGGGCCACCAGTTCCAGTAGGGCATCAATTTGGGCTACACTCAGAATCCGGGCAAGGTACATGCTGTTTATTTATTTTTCTGTTGACAGGTGACTGTGCTGCAGGATTTTGGTGCATTGGTGGTTCCTCTACCCAAACTCCTACTGATGGAACTACTGGTGTGGAGTGCCCCAGGGGTCAATACTGCAAAGCAGGTAGGAGAAAAAGCTCTGGTGATGATTTTTAGTTGAGGTTTTTAAATGTTGTGTTGTGCTTGTGTGTCTGTTGCTGCCTTGAGTTCACTGTTCCAGTGGAATTGATCTGCATATCCATTCCGATGGCTTAATTGACTGAATGTTGGACTTGAATCAGGGTTCTTTCTCCCTACGTGTTTGTTGGTTGCCGTCTTCTATTTCTGTTGGCCTTGAGTAGTTGGTGGGCTCTTACATCCATTTGCTGGCTGATAGACTGGCCTTTAGACCTGCAGCTATTTAAATGGGATAACTACTTGCATTAATTTTTAATGACATTCACTGTCACTGACAAAGTTGGGGCCTGCCACCACACTTCTCATTTTTCTAGGACTTCCCCTCACACCTGCATTTTAGGGGAAGGATTGCTGATGTTGGAAATGAATCCCTTTCTCTTTTTATAAACCCCCAGGCGTCGTCTATCCCGAGGACTGTCCCATCGGCACCTTGTCAGACAGCGGAGGACTGAAATCCATCAGTGGGTGTGAGCCGTGCACCGGGGGCAGTTACTGCAATGGCACAGGGCTGACGCAGCCCAGCGGGCCCTGTGACCCAGGGTAGGGTTCTGGACCTTTCCTTATTTATTTATTTATTTATTAACTGTTTCCAACAGCAAGAAAATTGCCATTTATAGGAAAGGTACAAAAATTAGAAATTAAAATACAAGACAATAAATATATATATGTACATTTAAAAATTCAAGGAATATAGGCTAAAAGGAGAAGATTCAAATGAGATACCGATAAAAGATATATTATTTAAATTACACGTATCATCACTGTATGCGACACTTGTCCATTCCGTCCAGATCACTGGAGGTCTGTCCTGTTGTTAACCCTAGAAAAGCATCTGAAGGCTTGGCATCAACCAAAACTGTTGCAGTGCTACAGAGAAAATATCAAGATGGAGGGAGCACAATTCCTTAGCACAAACTATTCCTAATACAACACTCAGTTGTGCAGCGTTCTGAACTTATCCAGCATTCGTGCTGTTCAAGCCACCTTTATCCGAAGTGGGGCCTGAGGCTTCAATTTTGTTTGAAGTACTGTTGAAGTGGTTTGCAGTAGCACCGTGCAAGGATATTTCTTTTTGAGTAAGCGTGGTTCTTAAAAGAACTGAAGGGTACTCAACATTTCGAACAGCATGCTCTCTCTTTTGTCCCATGTTCGGCCTTCTCTTTGTCAGAACCGTATCGAATGTTGGGTCGTTGGAGTCGATATTTTTGTACCTTATTTTAACGGCCGTGGTAAGTTAACTGAAAAGATTTTTTGTCGAGTACTGTTAATCGAGTACGAGTACTTTGATGCTCGAGTACAATTTTTGGATGTCGAGTTCCGAGTATTTTGTAGCCCGAGTACAAGAACTGTACTTCGAGTACGAGCACTTGGACGTCCGAGTACAAGTACGAATACTCTGAAAACGGTACTCCAGTAGTACTCGAGTACGAGTACTGAGTATGAGTACTACAACACGGAGACTGCAGAGATGAAGTAGTTCATCATTGGAACCTCTACCGGGTACATTCTCCTGACGACGGGCAGAGCATACTGTCCAAAAAGTGGAGTACCCTCCGGTTCTTTTTGGAACTGCACTCACTCAAAAGAGATACCCTGGCATGGTGCTACCCCGGACCACTTTACCTAACTTGCCACCTTCACCAGAGAAAGCTTTAACCTTACCGTTAAAGAACTTGTTACCGAGTTTCTAAAGAGGCAGCTGTGATGGATTGGAAAGGCCTCCAGGCACGCTAGCCAAAATGTCAAGGGGGATAAGGTTATGAACTTGCTGCAGATACATCACCAAAGCCTGACCAGATTGTCTGTAAGAACGCAATTGGTGTTGAGGTCATTGTCAGTGAGGATTCCAAGTTGAGTGCTGGAAGGTTGCAAAAATTTGAAGATCAAATCTGTTTTTTTTTCTTCAAGGCTAGTCCTAATTCTGTCTCACTGACATGGAGCAAAGACCATTGATCCTCAGGATTTTACTGTAACCTTTGACCTCTTGTATTTCCCCCACACAGTTATTACTGCCTGACCAATGCGACCACTCCCACCCCAGAGGACGGGGGAGTGACCGGTGATCCCTGCACAGCTGGTCACTACTGCCCTGGTGAGACCACCTCTCCCATCCCCTGCGAGCCGGGCAGCTACACCACCACCACTCACCGTAGCGAGTGCGATGAGTGTCCGGAGGGCTCGTACTGCGTCACGGGCTACGATCCGGAACCCTGCCCCCACGGTGAGGAAGTAGTTCTCCCACATTACCATAACCATTACTGATCACCTTCCCTTCAATCTTCTGACAGTGACACCCTTATGGTGTTTTCTTCAAGATGTATTTTTTGTGTTGGGGAGAAGTTTATTTATGTAATGGGTTTTGCCCTTACCCAACGTATATTAATAAGCGCTGTATGCTCAGTGCTTGTCTGAGAGCTTGCGAAAAAAAAATCTCACAAGCTTACTGGGGTCGGCAAATAGTTCATGGTACCCGCTGCTTCACTTGACTTGGACCGGTCAGGTGACCCAGGCAAGCTCGGTGGTCAAGTGGTTAAGACATCTGCACTAGTAAGCAGGAGGTTGTGGGTTCGAGTCCCACCCGAGTAAGCTTGTGAGGTTTTTTTTGCAAGCTCTCGGACAAGCACTGAGCATACAGTGCTTATTAATACATGTATATGTTGGGTAAGGGCAAAACCCCTTATCTAAATTAACCCTTATGGTCCCAAGTCTCGTGAAAAAACGGCTGTTAATGGGGATTTGACCATGCTGCTCCGTTGTCTGTAGAGTGCCAACGGTCTACATGTAAAATGGTCTATCACATCAGGATTTCAAGCAGTCTTTTTGCCAATCAAATGCTCCACACTACTTGGCTTTGTATGTATGTACTTGTAGAAAACTGCATTCCAGAATGATGTATTGGCCAAGGCCTCTTCATGCATTTTTCACGGGGTACCTTTACGGTTCTGATTATAGTGATTATTAGAATCTTGACTATTAAAGGCCAAACATTCAGGTGGAAGTCCTCTTTGAGGATCCCTTCGAGTGTTTCTGTCAAATGGAAAACTGACAAGATAGAAAAATACAAACATTTTAATTTGCTTCATTATTGAAACTCTCTTAGGTTTCTACTGTCCGAATGGCACCGGTTACGACTGGCGCCCGTGCCCCACTGGCTCCTACAGCAACCAGATCGGCCTGAAGGAAGAGTCGGAGTGCACGCTCTGCGACCCCTCCAAGTTCTGCGCATACATCAACGCTACCATGGTGACCGGGAACTGTGCCGCGGGCTACTTCTGCACGGAGGGCTCCGACACGGCCACGCCTGAGGTCACGTTCAAAGGTGGGGAAATCTTGATTCGTTATCTGGAATTGTTAACGGTGGCAGAGATAGTTCAGTTGGCAGGGCCCCTTTTGAGTTAATGGCCTCTAGAATGTTGCACATTGTAAATTGATAGGAATGTCTATTCACCCACTTATTTTCCATTTGCATCGGGATCCCAAAGTGAATGATACATCAAAACAGAGAGAACTCTATCCAATCTAACCAAAAGCAAAATATCCAGAGAAATAAAAAATAGCCTTCAGTTCCTTGTGTGGGATCTAGTCACAATTGTGACCCGCTGTGGGAAAAGGTGTATTAGGTCGCGCACTGCAAAAATGCGTAATGGCCCATTCCATGCGCCGAAGGAGAAAATATGTGGAAATATTTTGAGGCCAATTGCTTGACCAGAAAGCCTCTGTTGCTAAAGGAAAACCAAGTTTAATGTTTTTGTTCGTTATGTTTAAAGGGCAATATCTCAAAAAGCATGTGTTAATGAAATTATAGGAAGAAGCAAAATGCCACTGGGATGAATTATATACCAAATGAAATAATCAATGATTATATGTAACTTTAATTCCAACAAATGTGACATAATGCACCAATTTGCAGAGCCGGTCACAATTGTTCGGTGTAGATTTCTCAACATTTGTCTGGCTGAAGACAAAATGTCACATCCTCAACAGGTGTTTCAGCGCACTATTCACAGCCATGAAGTATTTTTTGGTGTGTCTGTTGTGTTCATGAAAGTTAAAACAGTTCACGTTCTGTGCAAGACCTAAAATAGATGAAAGAGCGATGTTGCAGGTGTATAAATGTCCCCAAACCCGATGGGACTCTTTCCGTTGGATGGTCAAAACATATGGCCTATTGATCCAGAGCTGTAGCATGATGGGGGAAAGGCGTCGGTTTTATACTCCGGCACTGTCACTGAAATTTCCCCTAATAAATTGGTTTCAACTCTCAACGTAATTTACCCATCTAGGTCCACAGTGACCTGACCTAATGTAATGTTTAATAGTGGTTGTGGCTCTGAAACAAAGGTCAGAGGTTCGAAACGAGCAGCTGGACACATGGGACTCGGTGCAAGTCAGTTTACTCCTTCTTGCTGCTCTCCACCCAGGATATGGGTGGGGCACCTGCAAAGATAGAGGCCAGGCATGCAAGGGTACCTGCGATCAAAATTTGTCTCGTAGTCTGAGGAGTGGGGCAGCGATAAGTGTAATACGTGACCCCTCATGAAAAAAAATGAGCCTCAAGTCATATTCTGCTCTTTCTTATTTTGGGGGTTGAAAGTCAAATATTGAAGTGGATGCAATTTGGGGGTACAGTAATACTTGGACAGAGTAACCCGTCAATTGAATTACCAAGGTTTTGCAGGATCAGATATTTCTAAATGTCATTTTCTCAGCAGTTCTGACGATGGCATTATTCGTGCCCGCCCAGCGATGTCGAAACAATGTCAGAAACAAAGACGCAAAGCTGCCAGAATAATGTCCCATTGTCACCTTGTACTTTTACCCATGTACATGCACTGTACCCCTGGAAAGCTCTCCCGCTGCTCAATTCAAACTACCAGCAGCTGAATTTTTCAAAACTCTGACTTTCAGCTCATTTTGTGGTAATAGGTCACATGTCGCCTTTACTGCTGAATCCCTGCACTTCATGAATACAAAATGAAGGCATGTTTTTTTTTCTTGCTCTCTTTCTCCTCATTCCAGGGGTGGCCGGAGTCTGCCCTGAAGGTTCCTACTGTGAGGAAGGTACTGCCACTCCATCCCCGTGCCCTCGTGGGACATTTGGCAACAAGACCAAGCTGAAGGCTGAGGTGTGTAGCTCTGAGAGGGACGATCCGGTCTCTCGACCGCATCCCTCGCATATGTGGACATTGGAGCATGAGGGGTGCCAGGGTTTATAGCCAGACTAGTCAGAAAGGGGGTAGAATCGACTGCCAATCACCTGATTGCTTCCCGTTGACCTAACAGTCCTCAATCCTCAGATTTCAATATGATTTTACATTCACCCTAGGGGGTAAGGCTTAACAAATTGGTTAACCTAGGGATGCCTGCTCTCAGGCAAAAAATGTTGGGCAAAGTTTTGGGATTAGGACAAGGTACGTTTTGACATCTCTGCCTTCAATATTTTGAGGCTTTAGACAAGAAAACTGGCATCTCTGTACCCACTGTGCCCAGAGCTCTAGGGCTCCAGTCCATCCTTACAAATTAAAAAGGGTATCCCTTGACAAGCCAGTTGAGTGATTGCTGTCAGCTGTGCTGATCTTACGGGGGGGTGATGACATCATTTCCTTGCTCTTGAATATGCATCAGTATTTTCCTTATAAGGTGTTGAACTTGAAGTGTTCTTGCAAATGGCTTAATCTGCACAAGGAGAAAAATTGAATCATTTGCATATGATGGGCAACCGTAGGCCTGGTCTTTGCTGCTAATAGAAAACTGAGCTGGAAGTCAGGAAGTTGGGGGTTCACATCCCTCCTGCTTCATTTTATTCCCACAGTTGACTGCATTGACAGAGGTATTGTTAAACTGGCATTGGGCAACTGTTAGTGGTTAGTTGAGCACTGGACTAGTAATCTAGCGGTCCTAGGTTCACATCCATACTGTTACATTTCCTTTTTAAAAAACAGAGCGAGTGTACGCAGTGTCTGTACGGCATGTACTGCGACGCGGAGGGCCTGACCTGGCCACAGGGCGAATGCGATCCGGGCTTCTACTGCCTGAGGGGTTCGCAGGATGCAAATAACCCCAGCGAGGACGCCACGGGCGGGCCGTGCCCGGCGGGACACTACTGCCCCCGTGGCACTTCCTTCCCGCTGGGCTGTCTCTCAGGAACCTACAATCCGCTACGCGGCCAGTCGGAGTGCCTAGACTGTGAGGCAGGGTGAGTCGTTTTGACGGTTAACCTGTCGGTGGACATATAGCAACTAGTTTGTTACCCTTCATGTAGGGAAGAGTGCTAAGTTTGATCATTTGCTAAGTGCACATTTGGGGAAATTTGAGCACTCCGCTCCCTACCGGACCAAGAGTTAGCACATTGATTGGAAATCAACGTGCCTGCACACAGGCACACATGCCTTTGGCAGGGAAGCATGGCGACGAGGTGTGCGGCTGTTTTCCCACTTACTTGGATAGTGTTTAAAATGTTTTCCCACTTGCTTGAAAACACATAATTTTTTTTTTCATTTTTGTGAAAAGCATGGAAACTAGTGTGAAGAGGTGTGAAAATCATTTGCCACTTGTGGGAAAAAGTTTTTCATATTTTAGGAAGTTGAAATGAATTCAGATCAATTTCCCCCCCCCCCCAAAAAAAAAACCACAACAGAAGGTAGCGAGATGTCACCCTACTATAAAAAGCGTATGATGAACATTCCTTGTTTTTGATTTCAGATTCTGGTGTCCAGAAAACTCTACGGCCGCTGACCAGCCCTGCCCGAGGGGTCATTATTGTCCCAACGGGACGGCGTATGCCACCCAGTACCCCTGCCCCAAGGGTTACTACAACGACTTTGAGCAGAAGTCTCAATTGGATGATTGCAAGCCGTGTGAACCTGGTAAGTCTTCAAGTTGATGGGTTGCTGTTTTCCCTTGAGGTACAAGAATAGAGACTGATCGTTGGTTTCCGGATGTTATAACTTTAAAAAAAAATATCGAACTTGTTTTCAATGTCTGATCTGGGTTTATTTTTGAAGACTGGAATTTTTGGATGATATTGAACATCTTGAGACATGTAGATGTTCTATGTTAGAAAAAAAATGGAATTTTCCTTGTTTTTCTCAAGGGGAGAATGATGGCTAATTTCAGCAGTTTTGCTTACGTCGTCCGTCTACCCAAAGAAGATCATCTACCTCATATTATTCAAGACTTTGTAGCTCTTACTTCATTCTCCCCTTTTCTAGGACCTCAAATTTTCCCGGATCAACCGAGTTCCTTGTGTCTTCCTTCTAGCCTGATGATAATAATTACGGAAAAATAAATCCGGAGTTTGCTCTCTTTGCCTGAGAACCCAGTTTTGCTCTTGCTTGTTCCATCTCCACAGGTTACTATTGTGCCAGTCCCGGCCGTGAAGCCGTCACCGACGAGTGCGCCCCGGGCTGGTACTGCATCCGCGGCGCCTGGTCGGACAAGCCCACCGACTACGGCTACGGCAACATCTCCACCAACTGCTTCTGCCCGGGCAACTCCACGGGCGGCCAGTGCCAGCCGGGTGAGTTCTGTCCGCGGGGCTCCAACTACCCGACACCATGCACCAGGGGTGAGTCATTGAAGCCTGTCTGTACCTCTCTGCGGACTTTGGTTGACTTCCTAGCTTTTAAACTTGCTTCTACTTGCGGAAAAATTCTGTAAATTGTACCGTCCGGTTGCTTGGCTGAAGTTTTGGTTTGGTTACACCCTGGACACATTAGGTTTTGATGCAGGCTTTTTAAACTCTCAAATTCATTTTTGACTTCTGAGCTTGTCAATTTTCTGTCTCATGGGGGAACCCTGATTGATTGCAGGACCATAATCCTCGTCAGTAATATCACATTCTGTCTTGGCAGACCAAAATTGGACCACTATTCAGCTTTTTATAATGTGATTAGATTTGGAAGTGAAAGAAAAAAAAGAAATATTTTAGGAAAAGACTGTTTTCTGAAAAATTGTCAAACCACCCCTTCTCCTATAACATGTGGTGGGACTTGAATTATTCTCACAGAATCATGAAATGGAAGTATGGATCCCTTGGTAAACTCAAAAAAGAAAATGAAATAAGAGACTATCACAGTTTTGCTTTTGAATTTTTTTCATGCTCACAGGTTATTACTGCGACTCTGCCGGCCAGCACAACGAGACAGACCTCTGTGACGAGGGTTACTACTGCACAGAGGGCGCTTGGCGACCTGACCCCACGGATGGCGTGACTGGCGACCTGTGCCCCACGGGCCACTACTGCCCCCGCGGCACCTATGATCCGGTGCCCTGCCCGGCTGGTTACTTCAGTAATGCCACAGGGGGAACGGCATTCGAGGACTGTAAACTCTGCTCTCCAGGTAGGCGTACAGTGCTCTGCGTTTACTGCAAATGCTCCATGGAAGTGGTGTTGGCTGGACTGCCGAGTCCAACTCAGGGCAAACTCAAGCCAGAATCTCTTTGGACATGAGACTTGACTTGGAAAAAAGGGACTTGTGACTTGGCATGAATTAATTTGACTTTTTAACTGCTCCAAATTGTGTTAAACTAAATCAGAAATAAATACATTATGTGAAAATTCCCGACTTTCTCTGCGCCAATAGTAAAAATGCCTATTTTTATTTTTATTGTGATGTAAAATATTTGTAAATGTCGCTGCAGTCGGGGGGGAAAAATGAGGCAAGTGAGACCAAATTAGCAAAATATCACAGGTTTCATTGTCAGTAAATCACGATCATGGTACGTATTCATAAATTCACTCGGGAAGTCAAGTGAATAGTATTCTCCTGGTTTTTCTTTCACCAGGCTTCTACTGTGAGGATAGTGGTCTGGACGAGCCCACGGCACCCTGCGAGGCGGGCTTCTACTGCCCCGAGGGGCAGAACGTCAGCCGGCCCGCCCTGTACCAGTGCTCGCCGGGCCACTACTGCCCACCTCAGAGCATTGACCAGTTGGGTTGCGAGTCTGGCACCTACCAGGACGAATGGGGAATGGTAAAAGAGACGACCTTTCTGTTTACTTAGTGCGTTGCATAATGGTAAAGACTGTGGGCATGAATGGTTGAGGGCGCTCTTTTACCCTTTACAAGTGCAACAAACTTGTCTGAAAACAGTAATGCTGACACCTCTGCCCATGTGTGAAAAAGAAGAATTGTTTTCACTGCCCTGTTTATTGAAACACAGCAGACGGGAAAACTGAAGTGAACTTATGCAAGGACTAGTTTAATTTTCTTTCTTTTTCATTAGCCTCTGAGTTTATGAATATTAGATTTTGAATAGAGCTGTGTTTACGTTCTCCTGTGGCAGCCAAGCGGGGCATGGTTTTGCATGCCAGTGGATCATTCTCACAGGAATGCAGGCATTTCATTTGAGTGTTCATGCGTCGGCAAGAATGACATGCTGTGTGCATAGATCGTGCCGAGACAGCGTTCTGATGGGAACGAATGGCCGCGCGTTTGGAATGCGAACGCATTGTTCCAAGTAGAGCCCTCTGAACTTTCCTTTCAATGAGATGTTCCTAACCCGTGGATCACACTCATCAATAACACATATCTTTCACTGCTGTGGTTAGTGGCGATTTTGCGCTCATCGTAAGCAAAGCCATGGAATTAGTCCCTTTTCAGAAATAGTTGAGTCTGAATTTTGGCAAGTTAATCACCACCTGCTTCTCCAACCCTTCGCCAGGAGTCCTGCAAACTGTGCCCCGAGGGCTACTTCTGCGACGGCACCCTGCAGTCGGACGCCCAGTGCTCCCATGGCGTCCAGAACCCCGAGCCCTGTCCCGCCGGCCACTACTGCCCCAATGGCACCCGCTATGACACGGAGTACCCTTGCCCCGAGGGCACCTACAGCGCCGCTGTCAAGCTCAAGTCGGCCGGGGAGTGCACACCCTGCCCCGGTGGGGAGTACTGCGAGTCGCCAGGACTGGAGGCACCCACGGGCCCCTGCCAAGCTGGGTAAGTATATGACTAGGTCCCAAATGGGCTTCCAGGGGTTCGGCTATGGCTGTCGTTGGCATGTGCCTGTTTAGTGCCCTTCTTTCCATTGAGAACGGTGTATTGTTGCAAGGCGTCTCTTATGTAACTAAGCAAAAGCTTGCCCCGAATCACGAGGTATAGCAACAGTGGTTTTAGTAAGGATAATTCAAGTTGTTACGTTCACGTGAATTTAAAGAACTCAGTGTACCAGATTTAGGTCAAAGTGAACTCGCAAAAGGCTTATTCAGCAAATTCATACACTGTTGTGGTATTATGACTTTGGTGTGTCGAAATGTGCAAAGATTGTTTGGACGTGAAAGTTTCAAAAGCCAGCGCTGTGTTCAGATGCCGGAGGAACAGGTGCGACGCAAACATTCAAAACTTTCGTAAATACTGAAGCAAAGCTGTTCAACTTCTACACTTCATCTGTTTCCTTTAATTTTAATTCTACAGGTATTATTGCGTCCGTGGAGCCATTACCAAAACTCCAGACGATGGGGTGACCGGTGACATATGTCCAGTCGGGGCCTACTGTCCAACGGGAACAAACCGGACCTATGACTGTCCACCAGGGACATACAATCCAACTGAAGGTATAGTGAAACCCTTCAAGCTTACCACCATCTTGGTCTTGTAACCAGAATCCTTCTTGAAGAATTGTCGTGCAAGTTGTGTCTCTTGATTTGGGACCCTTTTTGTCTTTTTTGAAACGATTAACAATGTCTGGTTAAAGCCAGGTCTATGACTGTCCTTATGGAAAGTGCAGCCCAACCGAAGTTATCTCGAAAACCTGTCAGTCTACCACAATGTTGGTCTTGTGACCAGAGAGCCCTCGTGCCCATGGATATATTGGCATGCCATCAACTCAGGGTATCTGACCAATTTTTTTCCCTTTTTTTTGACCAAATGAGTCTCATTAGTTAAGTGTACAGAGGAGTTGGGATTCAGACTTCCAATTATGTCAGTGATAGGTATGAAGACAGAATTGAATTTTTTTCCCCTGCCGCAGGTCGTGAATCGGTCCATCAGTGCACGGGCTGCGAGCCCGGTGAGTACTGCCCGGACTACGGTATGAACCAGACAGCTGGCGACTGCACGGAGGGATTCTACTGCAGCGGGAACGCCTCGGTGGCGGCGCCGACCGACGGGGTGACAGGTCAGCTCCTCTCTTTGTCTGATAACCTATCATGTGCGACTGTGTGTTTGTCTGTTTGGGTGGGCAGGTCTTCCTTGCATGTAGTCCTGGGACAGTTTCTTGGGAAGTGCATTTGGCGTCAAAGGTTTGTCCCCCTTTTTGGGGGGTCTCCCAAAAAACTCTTCAACCTGGTAAAAAGAATGTGTGTCGGGACAAGTGTTGCTCCGACCGTAAGTTAAAGATTTTTTATATCAACATCAAAATTGGTATGTTGGTTGGTCCTTGTTGGTCCAAACCAAGCAATTGTGGGCATGATGGGGGCGTGTGTGTTTTGTCTGTGTTTCAGGTGGGTTGTTTGTCTGTCCAGGGTTGGGATGTCTGTTTATTTTTTGTTTCCACGTTGTGTTGTCCTTAACTGCATTTTTACCTTTCTTACCAATCTATTTCCTGATGTTTCACGACATATATGATTCAGCCACAGTAATTGGTTTATTTGAAGAATTTCAAAAATATTGAGGATTTTATGATCTTGATTGTTTCTTGTATTTGGATGTTTTATGACACCTGTATAGTGACAGCCAACCTCTGATGGTTGTCATTATCCACTTCCTGTCAGGGCATTTATCAATGTTGATGATGCTGGGGCGGGATATTTATCATTTTTTCTGTTTTTCAAAATTCTTTAAAAATTCCTATCTTCATTTACTGGACACTTGCAAACACGTGAAAGCATGTCTGGTGGCCCCTTCGCCAGACAGACAAAATCTATTGACACCTGAGTATTTCAGCCAGGCCTGCAGCCTTGTACAAAGAGCCTGGATTTTGTGGTGTTAAGTAACATTTTTTTGTTCAAGAACTTGGCCAGTGCGCAGCTGACACTCTTTTCAATAGGGGCCAGATTAGCATGCAGCAGTGCTGTGTGGCTCATCGCTGCAGTGGTGGAGCGCTTTTGTCCCCGGTGGTAATTTGTTCGCTCTAAATGCCCCAAACCGTGTTATACTGTTTCAAAACAAGGCAGGATTATCTCCAATTTTGAGAGTGAAAAAATGTCGGTTATGCCCAGCAGCCTGGTCTTTTGTTCCGAGTACGGTCTTTTGTTACAAGGCCCTGTTCCCTTTGTCCGAATTCACAGACCCCGGCTACGCATATAAAGCGTACGTGTCCGGATCCGGAGTCCCCGGCAGGAAGTGGTTATTAAAACAAGTTGATTAATTATGTTCTACCCTTCCTCCGTTGAAGGTTTTAAAGGGCCACACTAGCAGCGTTCCAAGCATTCCCAGCATTTGAAGTTGTCACCCAACCTAACAAACTGAGTCCTTTTTTCTTGACCCAGGTGATGTTTGCCCCATCGGTTACTACTGCCCAGCCGGCACCTCCCTACCCATCCCTTGCGATCCGGGGACCTTCACCGACACCGAGCAGAACGCGGTGTGCGAGCCATGCACGCCAGGGCACTACTGCACCATGGGCACCAACCCACAGGTAACACAGCATCAAGATTCATCTCAAGGTGTTCCCTCGGCCTTCAGGAAGCAAAGATTTGGGCTTCTATTGAAAGCTATGGTTCTAAAATACTGAGAGAGAATGCTGACCTAGGTCTGATTATTTTAAAACAGACTATCAGGTGCTCTTACGAACACTGAATTTTGAACACTTTGTACCAATCTTCGTACTTTTTAGTCGGAAGAAATGATTCATTGCAAAGTTTGTCTATTTTGCAAAGAGTCACTTCAGTGCAGGTATGTGAAACCACATAATTTAATCATTTTGATAGCTATCGTTAATACAAACCATGGCATGGGGATCAATGACTGGTTCTTAGTGCTGGGAACACCTATGATGCCGCTACCTCAGGCAGCATCCGAATCTGCTCTCTAGAGCTAGGTCTAGGTCTTCGCTCCATTGGAAATGCGTGGAGACGCGTAGACAATAGACCTAGCCGTAGTTTTGGCAGCCCTTTTTGGACATGGTCATGGCTGGGTAGTAACTCATTAGTTTGTGACGGTCATACTCAAATGGTCAGTATTATCCTGTGCTGCAGCTGAGTTTCAACGCAACAGGCTCAAGTTTGTCCCCAAGTCTGTCATCTGTCAAATTGAATGTCAAAAAGTTGAGTCTGAACCCTAAAGCCTTCTGGTGGACCTAAAAAGACTTGATTTGGGTTGACAGCAGTACTCTATAATGGTGCTCTGTAATATCCCGTCACCCCTTGTAGGATTGTCCGGCCGGGTTCTTCTGCCCTGAAGGCACCGGCCACGTGTGGCAGCCTTGCCCCCTGGGGACGTTCAGCGATCAGACGGGCTTATCCAATGAGACCCAGTGCACCCAGTGCACCCTGGGTAACTATTGCGACCAGCTGAATGCAACCTCAGTGTCAGGTAAGTGTTGGGACTTGACGTGCTTCACAGGTCATTGTCAGAAACTGTCAAGTCTGTAACAAGTCACACATTTGTGTTGCAATCAAGCAAAATGATTCATTTGTTGGCTTTTCGTTCAAAGACACGTCTCAGAATAATATGTCCAAAATTGAATCTTTTGCATTTCCACTTCCATTCTGTTGATCCGAAGGTTGTTTCCAGGTTGGGGTTTTCATACAGATGAAGTCGACATCAAGTCAAGAAAGCTAATCGTTTAATTTGGTTTTTTGTAGGACCTTGTGATCCAGGCCATTACTGCCGTCTTGGCTCCGACTCCCGCACACCGTCTGAGCTGTCGAGAGGCGATGCCGGGGTCTGCCCGGCAGGCTACTACTGCCAACAAGGTAATAGTTGGATCAGGGGTGCTTGGATCTGCTGGAGAGAAAGTTTGAGTTTAAAAGGGGGACTTGGTTAAAAGGTTTGTAAGAGTTGATAGCTTTGGAGTGCCCGGGCATTCATTGATCTGTTGTGGGAGATTGCCCACCGTTGTATCTCTAGTGGTGGTTTATGTAGATGTTTCTTGTTCATATCTTCTGATGATACAGTTGATGTTTCATGTTGATATCTTCTGATGATTCAGTTGATGTTTCATGTTGATATCTTCTGATAATTCAGTTGATGTTTCATGTTGATATCTTCTGATGATTCAGTTGATGTTTCATGTTCATATCTTCTGGTAGGAACCAATCAACTCTTGATAGCAGGGTTTGGTAGGTTGAAGTACGGATGTGCTTGAGTTCTGGTTTTGGAAAAGAGGCTGGATCTTCCAGCGCAGTTTGTAGATTTCGATGTAATGACGATCATTGTCAAGGATTATTCCATCATTTCAGACCTGACTGAAATGGATGTTCTCTCTTGATCAGGTACTGGTGAGCCCGAAGCCTGCCCGCCGTCCACCTTCAACAACGACACAGGACGCCAGTCTGTAGATCAGTGCCAAGACTGTCTTGAAGGTAAAACAAGAACTTCACGTGACTTGCTACAACATGAAATCCAAAATTAAACTGACCCTGAAATCCAGTGATGTATTATACCAGAGCCTTCGTGGTCTTGATGGACTTTGTTTCCGAGTCTAAGCGTAAAAAATACCCCAGAGCAAGTAAATTGTAATATTAATTATACATCGTACGCTACAAAGTGTACGTTATCAACCCTAATAGTCACGGAACCTTCCAATTTGATTGAATATCGAACTTTTACACAGCCTTGTGGTTCAGGGTTGTTAAATAACTCTTTTTTTAAATAAGACAGAACTTTTTAAGGAAGCCTCGGCATTTAATTTTTTCTACACAGCAAGACCAATAGTGATACCCAAAATATTGGAAGTATGTGGTGTTTAAGAACATCCAAGTTTCCATATCTCAGCTTCCATGTCTAGAAAACAAGGTTGACCTGAAATCACCATCTCTCGATGTCTCCTTCCTGTGCAGGCCACTACTGCGACATTCCCGGCCTGGCCTATCCGGCCGGACAGTGCGAACCAGGCTACTACTGCAAGCTGGCCTCCAACTCCTCCAACCCTTCCACCACCACAGCCTCGGGCGGCCCTTGCCCGGCCGGCTCCTACTGCGTCATGGGCAGCAGCGACCACACGCTGTGCCTGCCAGGCTACTACAACCCGGTGGACAAGCAGAGCGAGTGCCTGGACTGCCCTGCCGGCTACTACTGCACCGAAGGCAGCGTCACATTCGAGGACTGCCCTAAAGGTAGGCCGGCATTACTTTGATTGATATAAAAAGCAACTTTGTGACTTCAGCTTGTGAGTTATAAATGTCGGTGGTTGAAAGGGTAGTTGCCCGGACTTTCAGGCCAGTAGTTAAGGTACCCAAAGTAGTGTCATGCTCGAAGACCGTCCCAAAGGTAAGCAGATGCCACATATAGGTGGATTGATTTAGAAACAAAGATGATGATGTCACATCGCAAAGTGTAAATGTGGTTGGTAAACATGGCAACTGTCTTAACTGTCCAGCCGGTTATTGATGCATTGAGGGCAGCGTCACATCACCTGACACTGACCGTAAGTTAACTTGGATTGATGAAACTGAGTGAGTTATCAGTGCTGTCTGGTTGAGTACTGGGAGTGGCATGATGAAGCAACTCAAGTATATGTGTGAATAACTTGGTTTGGGAAAGAGAACCAGCTTGAAATATAAACTTGTCTCCGAAAACCTGATGACTGTGACCTCACAGTGTACTGATTGTTGTGCATTTTTTTCGTGTTAACTTGGAAACTCAAGGCAGGTGCTTCAAAGCTAAGTGAATGTAACTTGGATTGGCAGACGAACTTTAAGAAACCCGATAGTGCCATTAATTGGTCAGGAAATAGCCTGAATTTTTGTTGTGATGGTCTAGGTAAACAAACTTACCAATTTGAAATGTCCAGTCAGCAAGGATAACAAGATGAGGAGGGATTTCAAATTGGGGCTGACCTCTCTCTAACGTGACTGCTGTTGAATGATTCATAACGTCGCTTGCTTCTCCTTCTTGTCCGGTCAGGCCACTTCTGCCCCAATAACACGGAGTTTGCCGTCCAGTTCCCCTGCAACAACGGCACCTTCAACAATGCCACGCGGGGCCGGGGCGTGGAAGCCTGCGAGCTCTGCACCCCAGGGATGTACTGCCCCGACCGGGGCATGGAGGTCCCCCAGGGGGAGTGCGCTGAGGGCTGGTACTGCACCCTGGGGGCCTGGAAGGACATGCCCACCACCCTGGGGAATGACACTGGTGAGCGTGATATGCGGGGCTATGTCCCTTTTTGTGATAATTTTCCCACGAGTAGGGACTTGGTGGATTGCTTTGCCGTATCAAGGATTAAATTAAAACTTTACAATGATGAAATCAGGCTTTCTCAAATTGTAGAGCACTGTGGCGGAGTGCTGTCTTCAGTGTTGTGGTATTTGACCAATCGGTTTCACTACGAAGTGACGTATAGGATAGTTTTGGTGCACCAAGAAATGTAGTACCGTCCTTGAACCTTGAACACAAGATACAACAATTCCTGGTGCAGCAACTATCCATGATATGTCAGTTTGTGATGTAACTGAGGAATTCATGTTCATTAGTACGTGGGTTCGAATCCTGTCACAGGTACCATGGTGCTTATGTTCTTTGGGTGGGATACTTAGCCACATTTGCCGCTCTCGGCCCACAATTTCTCCATGGGAAAAGTTATTTTTGTTTTTGCAAACTTTTCAGATAAGGGGATGTTTTGGGAGAATGGTTTGTCCACGGTTCATAACATCGGAGGCAAAATGATAATTAGAAGTGACCGGAAAACTCCTAGCTTGGCATTAGCCTCCCAAAAAGTTGTGACAATATCGGAGAAAATGTTGGGGTCCTTGCACCAGAATGGATTAAAGTGAAGATAGCTAGCCAAACAATAGTGTAGTAATAAGCTACAAGCGGTCTCTGCTTTCCACCCACCCTTCACCTAGATTCATCCTGCCACTGCCCGGCTCAGACCACTGGTGGCATGTGTGTGGCCGGCGAGTACTGTCCCAGCGGCTCCGCTGCCCCCAAACCCTGTGACCCGGGCTTCTACTGTCGCTACGACGAGCTGCCATCTGTCAGTGGTGCCTGTTACGCTGGCTACTACTGCACAGGTAGCGCTATCTTGCCGAACCCTGTCAATGACACGACAGGTGATATCTGCCCCAAGGGTCATTACTGTCCCACGGGGAGCAGCAGTCCGGAACCCTGCCCACCAGGTAGGCACTCACACAGTTACTATGGTAGAGAACTTTTATTCAAACTTGTACTGTAAGTGGTTTTGATTAATCTAGTGACCCTGCCAATGCTGTAACAGGTCATTTGGCCCCCACCAATGGTGGCTAACACTGTGATTACTATTGCACGGAACCAGTGTTCCGTATCAGTCCCTCAATATAGTGCTCTCAGCCTCTACAGGGGGCCATTAGGAAGCCAATGGCCAATTCTTTCCCTGAAATGCTGAGCTAAGGTTGGGCTCACATTTTTACAGAAAAACATGTAATAAGCAGTGTTCTCCCTGAATGACATCATAGCAGCAGCGCCCTCAGTTGTTCAGAAAGGGGGGACAATTTACATGTTAAAAAAGAGCACATTTATATTCATGTAACCTGAAAAGGATGTGAAGTAGTTTTCATACATTGTTGATGAGTTTAACGTTGAACAAAAAGTACAACCTTGAGAAAAATTCATTATATGTACATGGACACTTCATAACTAGTGGTACTGAGGTCATCTGGAATTTTTCCGTTGAATAATGCCTGTTTGTTGTCAATTTTCATGGCGCAGTTTTATTTATCCAAATTTGTTGTTGTCTGGTAGGGTCCTACTCCAACCGCTTTGCCAACCACAACCTCACCGACTGCCTGCCCTGCACAGCCGGCATGTACTGCAGCGGCTGGGGGCGGGACCTGCCCAACGCGGAGTGCGACGAGGGCTGGTTCTGCTGGGAGAACTCCACCGTGCCCCAGCCCCCGGGAGCCCAGTGCCTGGCTGGCCACAGCTGTCCTCGGGGTAGCCCCGACCAGATGGCCTGCCCCTCGGGCAGCTACCAGCCCTCGGCAGGGCAAGGGGAATGCCTGGTTTGCCCAGCAGGTTGGTG